GAGCCACTGACATCCTGAAGTAAACTTTGAATCGCCCGTGATAATCCTGCTGCTCCTTAATAAGGAGGGGGAACTCTCCTTCCTCTCTATCTCAGGATTGGATGGACCCAATATTTCCTTTCTTTTTCTTTTTTTAAGAAGCGAGAGGACAACAAAATCATCCTCACTGCTTGAAGACTCCATTTAGTGCTGTTTTGCGAATTTTTTCGCAACAGATTAATTAATGCGCATCGGACTCAGTGTGCAAGGTTTCTGTGCGTGACGAATTTTTTGAATTTCGAATACGAAAAAACGCATACGAAAATTTCGGACTCGGTGTGCAGAGACCTTTACTCTTAGCATGGTTTGGTTGCATTGTTTTATTAATGAAAGACCCTAGGGAGAGATGCCTCTGTAGCATCTTTATGCCATTTGACCTCTCAGCTAGATTGTTTAATGGTTATTCTGAATGCCTGTTAATTAATTAGCTATCAAAAGACAGAGTGCCGCTTCACAGAGTGAAACTGTGACATTACACAAAAAAATCTTGTTGCTATTTCTGTTTTTTCAGCTGTGACCACATGCTCTTCCTCTGGGTTTTCCTGCCTGCATGAGTTCCAGCCGGTGAACAGAACACAAATACGTTACTCTGTATATATTGTTCAAATATAGCTTGTTTACCTTTACACATGTAGAGTGTTTTAAGTCACGCACACCATAAGATGTAAACCACTGCTTTTACATATGAAGGTCCTGCTTCAATAATAAGGTCTTTTACTGAGTAGCAGGAACAAGGAAGGACAAAGTGTAAGTCATTAATCATGTTTTCGCTCTGTAGTGCAGCACCTGTTGACATGATCTCTGGTTTCCCCTTTCATCTGAACCATTGCTCTCTCAGATTCTGCTCAGATTGTATTTATCACTAGATGGTTTGTTACATGCTGATAGTGGTTATGTTTCTCACAGTCTATGAGATCAGATCACCCTCTTTTTACTGTATTTTTAGGCAGAATGCTGTTTCTACATAAAACATAAATGTTCAGATTGCCATCCTTCATTAATACTGTAGTGTGTGCTGCTTTGTTCAGTACCAAGAACACAGTAACTCTTATCCAAAACCTGCTGTCTGTTGGCTACCTAGCTTTCGCTATCTAAAATCAAACTTCATATGTGACTTATTTGGAACAGTCTACATAGGCTGGAACTCTGTGCATCATGCAAATAGCACACAAGAGACTTGACTCAGTTGACAAGAGAAAGGATAATATATACAGTGTGTGTGTGTGTGTGCGTTTTTGTGACATGAGGACACAAATTTGTATAATGACATGGGTATGACATAGGTATTACAAGGAGAAGGTGACTTATGAGGACATTACCCCATGTCCCCATTTTTCAAAATGCTTATAAATCATACAGAGTGAGTTTTTTTTGAGAAAGTAAGAATGCACAAAGTTTCCTGTAAGGGGTAGGTTTAGGTGTAGGGTTGGTGTAGGGCAATAGCACATACAGTTTGTACTAGGGCTGGGCGATATGTCAAAAATATCTTATCGATAATCGCCTTTAAAAATACCGCGATATCTGATAATATCGTCTAAGCCCCACCTCCACCACGCCCCGCCCCCGCTGAGACAACATTGCTGACACGCACCATAAACACACACCATGTTCAGTTTGGTCTTAATTATTGCCACAAAGTTTGGTTTTACTTTTCTTAGTTTGTGCTTAAACTAACAGAAAACAAGCTTTGCTGTTATTTTGGTGTTGCTAATAATTTCCACTCTGTTCTTATCAAATTTGTTTCTGAAGTGAATTTAGTTTTTGTGAGGAGAACTGTTGAGGAAAAATAATAGAACCCAATTTTAAGTTCATCATGGTGAAGTTGGACATTCTGGCGGTGATTGTAAGAATGATAAATGCATGTTGATGTCATATAATAATGTCTTGAATAAAATATGCCTATTTTCCGATGTTCCTCTTTCTTTTTGGCATTATCGCCTGTGTAGACACATTTTATGATGGTAAGTTTAATTTCCTTAATTATAACAATTACAGCGTTGCTTTTAAACTTGTAGTCAAGCTATAACGTATTTGATATTTATCATGCATGACTAAAATCATGCAGGGATTAAAAATGAATTCTGAGCAAAAACGTTAAGTTTTTTTTTTTTTCCCTTTCTGGTGGCCTACTAGTTCGGAGGTCTCTTTCGGTCCGTTTTTAACTAAATAAAAATAACTGCTTTATTTATTTAGAAGCAGGGTAATTTAAATGTAATTTTTGTATTGTCATTTTTATATTTTTTATTTTATTAATCAAAATACAACTCCCACAATACAAGTACAATTCAGTGTTGGGCTGCCGAAACTCCGAACGCGTGCATGTTGAGGGGCAAGCTGAGATATAGGCCTATAATGTCTTATCTGTTTGCGCAAATGAATTAAGACAACACCCACAATATAATATTCAGTGTTGGGCTGCCGAAACTCCGAACGCATGCATGTTGAGGGGCGAGCTGAGAAGCCTACTAATGTCTTCATCCGTTTGCAACAAAACTTTATAGTTTTGTGTAAGTGTAAGAACGCGAAAAAAGAGAGCTCAGTCCAGTGTTCGCGTATATAAGATGCAGGTTTTTGTGCGTGCGCTTTGTGTGTGTGAGTGCACAGCGCGCAAGTGCAGAAGTGAGTTCTATTTCGTCTTCTTGCAGTTGAATCTTTTGAAATCACAATAAATGCTCATACAGAAATCGAGACGCAGAATCGAAATGTAATTTTATAACAAGCAATTTGATTCCTGGCCTTACGCATCTGGGCCCGTATTCACAAAACATCTTAAGGCTAAAAGTAGCTCATAACTCAATATACGGTCTGTACAGTAGAAAAACCATTACGCCTATGGAGAGTCCCCACAAGGATAGCAAACCAGACATGTGTGTGTGTGTGTGTGTGTGTAAATAAAAAATAAAATAAAATAAAAGACACAGGGGCAGGGTCTTTCTTTCTCACACACACACACACACTTTTATTTCCTCACACTTTATTCATAGATTACATGTGCTTATCTCACACATGTGCAGGATGTCAGCCAGTCACATGTGAACAACGGCTTTTCATGCATAATGCCATACTGTACTTTTTAAATATGCACTAGCTACATCGACTGTCATGCTCAATTCACCTTGACCTATTTACACATGCAAGATGATTGCTGTGTATTAAAAATGCACACACACATGCATGAAAGATGGTGGTGTCATGTCTTATACAGATACAAGCATAACAAAGGAATGACAGAAAGCATAATGTACAGTACATGAATGGTTTTACTCCTGGTGCTTGATAGAAGATAGAAATTGCAGAGCAGATTGAAGCTGCCTGTAAGCATCAGATAATCCTCCGCATCCACTCAGCTCTCTGCTTTATTGATTCCTGTGGTGATGGACACTGCTGTTCTATGCAATGTGAAAGTGCTGTATCTCACTCAGTCTTTATCAAGTCCTGAGAGAAAACCAGAGTCTGCTGGTGGAGTGATCAGATGGATGCTGTCCTGTGATCATCCTTCCAGTGATATTCCAGTATGAGCTGGACAGGATCAGTTGCTCTGGGCTGCTTTGGATACCAAGGGATTACTGAACTCATGCTTTTATAGAAGATCAATATAATCGTACCTTTGGCTTGCAGTTTTACTTGGATGATGCAAAATCACAGTCATTACTATTGAGAGAAAATAAATAGGAGATATCAGGAGAGATTTTTAAGGCAAGACAAGTTTATTTATATAGCACATTTCGTACACAATGGTAATTCAAAGTGCTTTACATAAAAGAAAGTAAAATAATCACAAAAATAAAACAAGGAATTTAAAAACTTTTTAGTCTTTAAATTAGAATTAGATTTTACAGAATTTAAAATGTAGCATTTTATTTTTTATTAAATTAAATTAATTTGCATTATTTTCAAAATGCATATTTCTAAAATCAAATTAAATTTAGTGCAAATTATCTTAACAACACATGGTAATATGAAAATTAATGATACATTTAAACAAAAAAAAAAGCTTCCTAAATGACTGTAATGCTTCTTTAAGGATGTGTAAATGTGATGTATAGTTGTATAGTTCTTTCAGCATGAATGAGGAGCTTATCTGTTTTTGTAATCATGCTGCAGTATGTTTTCTAATCTTGTAAAACCTAATAGAAAATGAATCAGTTTCACATTTTTTCCCCTGCACATCTTTCGTTCACTTCATGGAACAAACTGCTTAAATGCTTCAGATGTTTCAATATTCTTCAACCTCTTCTGAGTCGTCGCTTTCGGAATAGAGAGCAAATATCTGTTTCTGAGAGATAAAAACCCAGGGATACTGTTTGCTTGGACATAAATGAAATTGGAAAGAGACTGATGTGTCTGCCAGATCCAATTAAAGCGAGTACTGGCCTGATGTGTTTCAGGCTGTAATCACTGAGGGATGGGAGCAGCTTTCATATTACTCTGATTTCTAATGATCAGGTTTGCCACAGCTTTTGAGTTTGAGTTTGTGTGTGTGTGTGTGTGTGTGTGTATGTGAGTGTGAGTGTTTATGTCTGTGCATTAGTGTGTGGGTTTGTTTGATTGTCAATGTACGGCATGTCCATGTTTATGCTGCTAACGATGCCTGAGGGTTTATTAAGGAGTGAATGATTTTAACTAAAACAAAGACTCATAATTGATCCTATGTGAATGTTTGATGTCAACTAATTAGGCACACCACAGTAGAGTATTGTGATGAGAGCTCTATTTAGCACAACACTTGGACACCCATTAATGCATTTGTTTCTTGTGATCATTGATAAATAGATAGTTAGATGGATGGATGGATGAATGTGGAAAATAGTAATAATAAAGAATATGTGTATGTGTCCAAATTGGTGTAGGTGATGTAGTTGGTTAAACCGTATACAGCATTTAACAGTTAGAAACTGACTCTGGAACTAGAAAGGTATGTTATAGATAAATGTGAAATGATCTATAAGTAAAATTTTCCCCAGCTAGATCCCTACAAAATGTTCCTTGATTTAGATGTAATTTGCATACAGTTTAGATGAGCAAACAGTGGTATTTATTCAATCTGTAATTATGTTTCAAAATGTTCATAAATGCTGGAAAAAACCATAGAGATACAGTAATTAGCGAATCTGTAAACTGTTGGTTTACTGTTGCTTTGACACGAGATACAGGAAAAACTGTTTAATTCACATGATTAATTAGCGTGACATTTAAACGTGTCTGTAGCAGATGAGAAGGAAGTGCTTTTGAACCGAGATGTTTAATTAGTGATTCATTTGATGAAGCCTTGTAAGCAAGCTATTTAATTTGCTATCAGCAATTATTACATCATGCGATGCAACATATTTGTGTTATGAGTTCAGGATGGTGATAATCGTTCTCGCTCATCAAAATGCATTTGAGTTGAACATTAATGCTTTCACCTCAAAGATGTAATGCATCCATTTGGAGGTTGTTTTCCTGCTGACAATGACTGTAATGCATTGTAATAAGGAAATAAAGGATGTGGCCACCATCTACAATTGAGCTTGTCATGGTGACGTTTTGAAATCTTTTTACCTTTGATTGCATGTCATTAGGTGGTCCTCTAAGTGCATGCTTGAACACAACCCACACAGTAATGCATACTGCTCTATTCATGTCTGTTTTTATATTTCACATGTATGTGCGTTTATTTGACTTGTATATATATATTCAGCCCGGGGTCGTGCCACATGTGGTTGCCGCAAGCCCGCCCGCCGCCGCTCACTCAAGCTGTTTTTTGAACCTTAAACCGCATAAACACATTTCATTACACCAAATACACAAAATAATGTTCTTTTTAGCAACATCATATGACCCCTTTAAAGCTAATAGTGATGTGCTCTGTTAGCTGTCAGAGAGCACCTCTCTCTCTCCCTCTCTCTCTCTCTCTCTCTCACTCTCTCTCTCTGTCCATCAGAAGGCATAGCATCCTTGAGTGTCGTGTTGTTGGGAGGTGTGAGGTGAAGAGTTGGTCACATTGTCAGGGTGTATGTGTGTTTGTTAGTCTGCTATTGTGTGGGTGGGGATGTCCAATGTCAGCATTGCTTAAGAAAGGGGGTTCTTTGTGCGCCTGATCTAAAAAAAAAAAAAAAACAAGTGACAGTTTGCTTAGATCATGTGTTAAAGCCGTCTAGTAATATGACTCAAGGTCAGAGCCTTTCCTTCCCTAAAGCTCTGTATGTCTCTCTCTCTTTTTCTCCCTCCATCACTGCTGTTTGACAGCTCCGTAGGGACAGGAATACAGCATAGTTATGATTGAAGAGCTGGCCTTCTGTCAACATGAGGTTGAACCTGATTTTTACATTTTCTGAAGAAAATGTCAACAGTTTATGCCTGTGCATAACTCATTGTCACAATGCAGGGGTATTGTGGGTAATTGTCAGGGCATTGCTGTTTTTAGGTAGATTATTATGTAGATATTTTGTTCAGCTGCCCTTGATATTTAATAAACACTGCCATCTTTAAACAGTCAACGAGGAGACCTGAGTGAATGGAAGTCAATGGAAAAGACTATTAAAACTGCTTTTGTGTGGAAACAGTTCATTATACTTAATCATCAATACATTTACTACCTTGGTGCTAATCTGCAACATTCACTTCGTAGAAAAATTGAAAAAAATGAGAAAAGTTAATCTAAATAAAACCAACTTAATTTTATAGTTCCTAATATTGAATGAAATTACTGAACAAATGATTTTCTGCTATAAACTATGATTCATTATTCAACATTTAGTTCCTTTCCTGGTGATTGACAGGATATTCCGTTCCCTGTGAGTATTAATGATAGCGATTTATCAGTGATACTTTCTGCAGGTGTCACTATGACCATGGCAACACATCAGACATGCAGACAGGTTACATTGGTATGCCAGTTTGTGGCGGCAAGTAACTTTACACGTGAGTCTTAGAACCGCTCATTCAAATGATTCATTCTCAAACAAAACAGCTGACCATCTTGATGAGTGAGTTAAATTAATTTGTTCAAAAACACTGATTCAGTCAGTAACAAAAAAAGTGAAAGTCATTGAAATTACTGAATAATTCAAGATGCAGTGGTTCTTTTGTTGGTTTATTTATATTTATTTACCTTAATGGAGCAAAAAGTATTTGGCAATGTTGAGTCTAAAACTGAGACTGCGCAAACATTTGCGTAAAGTAGCGTCACCCTTTTGAATACAGCATTAATGAGCATATATAAAATTATATCCATGCGTTTTGGTTGCTATGGTATTTGGTAGGGTGGTTGCTAAAGTGTTGCTGGGCGATTGCTAGGGATGGTTGCTAGGTGGTTGTTAGACTATTCTGAATGGTTGCTTAGAGGATGCTTGGGTGTTCTGGTTTATTTGAATCTCTAATAATTAACCAGAGTAGAAAAAAGCATCTTTAAGGAAGTGAAGCCACATAAAAGCCTGTGCTGTGCCATTTACGACCTGACAAATGTGGCATATTAAATGCATATATAGGTCATTTCATTTCACACAAGAGCAGCAAAAGCATCCAAGTTAAGAATTGGCTCTTTCCAATCATGATGTGAAGAGCTCCATAAAGCCATTATGTTTTGTGTTGGGTAGAAAGACTGCATTATTCAAAGGTGTGAATCACGTCTATTAAATTGTTGTGACTTTGAGGCATACCCTTTACACGCTAAAGTGAAAAGTGACCAGGCCTTCCTCAAAATCACTTTATTTTCCATGCCTCATGTTTTTTGCATGCTGCACAGCACGTTTTGCCCCACATAATGTGTGCGATTAAGTGATTTGATGAGATCTCTGGAGGGAAGAGCCATGCCATTAATCGAATAATTGATCGGTCCTCCATTTGCAGCTTTCTAATTGGCCGGTGAATGTTCGTGAGCCCTGGATTTAAAACCCCAGTGGGTCGGGGTTCTCTGAGGAGTCTAGAGTCTGACCCGCAGTTATTAAGAAAAGGGCTGAAGTGTTTGCGTTTAGGTGTCCCTGTCAAACTGCAAGAGCCTGTGTCATTCAGTCCTGCCACGGCCTTTTCACTGTGCCTGCTGTATTCTGTCGGAAATCAGATAAATGCCTTTGAAACATCTGTCATATTGTTACAAACGTCAATCATGGAGGAGCTGGACGGCTCATGAATAAACCCACCTGTTGAATTATGGATGTTATAGCAGTCAATCGTGCTATATTCTTTCCTTCTCTGTGTGCGGCGGCTAATGCCCTCTTTCTCATCTCTTTTCTCTCTCTCCCCAGGCCCTTTCCATCAGAGGACACAGCGCTGAATGAAGATGATGTGTACCGGAGCTTGGAGGAGTTGGCAGAGTAAGTGTTTTAAATCATAGAAACAGAGTATATTGGCAATTAATTAGTGGTTAAACGGATCGTAGTTGATCTGTGATCCGTACGGACCAAGCCCCACGGTTCGGCACGCATGTGATCCGCGGATTAATTGCAAAATTTAACCATAATAGAGTATAAGTTTATCAAACATAGTCAGATAGAAAAATAAACTGCAGAGAGGGGCATTTTGCTAAATATATGTAGACATATTATTATGTAATTGTAACTTTATTATTTTAAAAACTTCATTAAGTGTAATTTTAACAAATCAGTCAATTTTAACCTTCAATATTATAGTAATGTAGTACCAACTGACTCTCATGAAGATTTTTTTTTCCTTGACAAAATTTGGCGTGTACTGTACCTGATATTTATCCAAAATAATCTATATTGAATCGAATCGAATCGAATCGCAAGCTTGTGAATGAGAATCAAATCGAATCATGAAATTTGTGTCAAAACCCAGCCCTATAGGTAACTAAGACGTGGTATAAGTTCAGAGTTCTATAGAATGCTGCATTAATTAGTTGCATTTGAATGCAATTGGAATGGAATGGAATTTTATTTATTAATCACATCTACACACCACCCTCCCTGTCTCCAGCCTGTCCATTCACCCTGGTACAAATAGCCAGGCGGTAAATGTTCTTCTGGTTTCCATGGCAATGCCATGCCATGCTCGGAGCATGGCAAGAATGCAGTGTGGGCGTTAAGAGGAGTGAGGGAAAATGAGGGAGGGGGTTGTGACCGTGGTGACAGCCCCGATTCCTCGCTGATTAATTGTGAATAATTAGGCAGCTGGGCGGATAGGTGTCATTCATCAGCAGAGGACGGCATGACACAGGCGTGTTAGTGCAGACTGCATACATTAAACCTCTCACAATGCCTGTTAGAAACGTCTGTGAAGCCATAAATGGAGATGAGCTTATGTCAGACCTCAAACAGTCTCAATTTAATAGCAGCCCAAAGAAACATAGCTTGTGTACGTGTTGTTCTGAGCCAATATAAAGTGAGGGTAGACAATGTTTAATTCAGAGCAAATAAAAACAAGGCCATGAGGGACCGAAGTGCAGTCTGTCCTGGTGGTCCATACCTTATTGTCACAACCTTGTTTTGTTGGAGGATTTTTATAGAGCATTACAAAGAGACATGACAGTTGAGTGGGGACAGGATCAGGCTGGACTTGAACCTAGCAGGGCTCCAGACTGCGACCAAATGGCACTGGCGCGACCACTCGTAAGCGCTGCCATTTCTGTTGCATATCAGATCAAACGGTGCTGACATAGAAAACCAGAAAACCAGTAACGCTAACTTTAACCATGGTGTTGTGTCAGAAATAGTCGAATGTTATTACATTCATTTCATCATTTATTTCAGGGTTTGCGTACAACCTTTGAGAGAGAAATTCAAGCAGTTTTCAGTTACTTTCAAGCATTTTACACAAATGTTTCCAGTACTTTAAAGCTCCAAAATGATCCAATTTGAATGTTATTTTTAATGGGATGACCAAAATATACTGTGGTGAACAAACACTTGTGTAAAAAAAATCCACCAAATCACCATTATAACCTGTAGATGGCAGCAGAGGAGCACTTATTGGCTTATTAGTCATTCATTTATAGTTTTACCTTTATATTTTGAAATTATAAAATAACAATTATAAAATCACTATTATAAAATATCAAATCATCAAGAAATCAGATTTTGTCAGAGTTTTGCGCTTTTTTTTTGTATGTAAGTAAGAAAAGTTACAAAGTGCTTTGTGCTCATAAATGTGCAAAGTAGGGGTGCTCCGATCAGGATTTTTGAGGCCGATCACCGATCGCCGATCACAGAAAGTAGTATCTGCCGATACCGATCTTTTTAAAGCCTTCTTTTTATCATTTATAACTATTTATAGTGATACTCCAATCAGGATTTTTAGACATTTATTCAGGGCCTGAATTTCATTTTTGAAAATGGGGGAATTCCCCTCTTATTTATGATACTTTTGGGAAACGCAGCCCTGTTTGAATGCACTGTCAGCAGTGAGTGAATGCTGTCTGTGATTGATTGGTTCTGTCTTGCAACATTTGCGTGTGTTCAGATGAGCAGGAAAATAGTTCTATCCTACACAATTACTCGCTAACAAAGGTTATTTGTCCAATTCAATGCATATTGTACGCATTATTATTATTATTATTATTTTTGTTAAATAAACAAAACCACTGGTAAGTAAAATGCACCTTAGTATCGATATTTTTGGTTTGAGTATCGATACTTCGGATCGATACGCCCATCCCTACTACTGATCCATGGCTGTTTACCACAAACACAACATTTATCCATTTTTTGATTTTAAATCCAAACATTGTCACTGAAAATGCTTTTTCAGCATTGCAATTCTTTTTTTTACACAGTACAGTAATACAATATTTCACAGACATGTTTAAACACAATAAATATAAGCAACACATTATTCAATGCTTTTTACTTTTGCATTGACTTCTAGATTTATATATTAAGTTGTAACGTTAGAGCTGATCTGCGCCTCACTGCACACGTCTGCGGTGTGCAGTGAGCTCCATGGCTCCACGGGCACCGGAGCTGATCGCGGCCACTCTAATCAGTGCTTGTGTTTATACCAGCCAGCCACGGCATGTTTCTGAAGCGGCTCTCCACGCTGCTTGGCTAAAAATAGTCTTTTGTGAGCTGTCAGCATGAAGGACGGAACAAAACCTCGTCGGAGCCGTAAGGGGTAACGGTAACATAATACACTGATCGTGGGCTTCTTTTAAATGAACATTTATTTATAAAACAAAATAACTTCTTTGGCCATATTAGCCTACTCAATAGCATTAACACAGGCTTTACTCCTTTCAAACTTTATCTGGAATGTCACCGTTTCTGTCACTGCAACTTCCCGATCAGGCGAACGAACACACACACACAC